GCCAGTACACTTTTTTCTTTGCCCTCAGGCCAGCCTAGATATCCGCACTCAGCCAATGCAACATCCCTATAACACCTGCACGATGAAATACTTGCTAGCAGATACAGGTTCCTGGAACTTGACCTTTTCTAGCTTCTACATCTGCACAATCCTCTTAGCACTGGCAGCAGTCTCTGGTTGCCTGGATCAGGGTTTAATGCCCTTGTTTGCTGGGATGGGTGTGGTTCTTGCACTTCAATGGATGCCATTATATTTAAACTCAGATTATCTTGATTGTCATGTGCTTTGAAGTTTCCAGTGAGGATGAGTCTATCAAAACACTCAGTTGAATCTACTTCTGCCCTGACTGTGAGTGCACTTGGATAGGGGGTCAGTACAGGCTGAAGGAGGTAACCAACTGTGTGAGCAATGTGAGCTCTTCCTTTGGTATTTGCACACAGCCAATGTAGATACTTACTGAGAGATTAAGCAGGGTGGGGAGGGATGTGAAGTGCTCATTGTGGGGGGGTTCCCTCCATCTCCACTTTGCTTCCTCTCTAATCCTTAGGAGTTCTCCTCCGCACCGTGTGTCTGATGCAGTTTATTAAAGCAGCCGATTCTGGCCTGTAGTGTTGGGACTGGACAGTTGTTTGTTAAACCCAGAGGTCACTTCATAGAACATTTACATTGGCAAAGATAAAGGTGTTTCCTTTCAGCCCATGCAGCAAGACAAAAGTGACAGCTGTGCATCAGGAAGCAAGATAAGATGAGACAGTGTCCTGTCCTCTCCAGTTCCTATGGCAGTTTGCACTCTGTTCTGGGGACGTCCTGTCCAATTTATTGTTTAGAATAACCATCTCAGGCATGTTTGCTTTCGAGTCTTATCTCTATGGCATTTATTTATTTTCACTACCTCTGGGGATTTTTTTGGAGGGGGGATATCCATTTCTATACACCAGGAGAAGGGAGCTCCTTTCTAAGTGGCATTCCTTTTTTTAAAACTTAGATTAAGGGAAAAACAGAACAAAGAAGGACCGAAATGAAAGACTCCATGGAGTGTATGTGTATATCAGTCCATTAACCTGCTGCACTTATTTTGCCCCCCGTTCATGGACACCCTCACAGCAGACAGACTGCCTCAGAATTTAAAGGTATATGTAACATCTCCTTTCTCCAGGGGTGGCTGTGAAGCCCCCAGAGGCACCTTTTTTAAAAAAAAAAACAAAAACTTTTTCTACCCTGCTTGCTCTCTTTCTCTCTGGGCCATCACCTCTTTTCTCTCCTGCCATGCCTTGATGTAAATGGTTATTTATATAAGGGAGGCTGCCCCAGGGCTTCCCAAACCTGACTTCTGGCACATGACCACCATGTATCTGTGATGATCACTGCCTTAAGGGCCAATTGTGTGGCTCCATCCTTCCTTACACCATGCCCCCTGCCTTGCAGGTGTTATCACTTGATGTCACTTGTTCTTAGTCTAACACACTTGGCCCTTCATCCAGGACTCTGGATCCCATGTCCCATTCTCAGGCCTTCTCTGGGCTTCTGGACCCTTCTGGTCCCACTTTCTGCCCTCTCTGGGCCTGGATCCTCTGGTATTACCCACATTGTGCTCCTCTCCATGCTTCTGGACCTTTCTGGTCCTACTCTGTCTCATCTCCTCTTGTCCTCAGGCTTATTCTTTCCAAAGCCTATTTATCCTGGGCTCTGGCCCTGCTCCCAGGCTTATAACTGTGTTTTCCCTGTCGCAGGCTCTGGCCTTGCTCTCAGGTCTCTGGCCCTAATCCTGGGCTCTCATCTTGCTTCCAGGACTCTAACCATGTTTGCCCTGTCCTGGGATCTGGCCTGGCCCCCAGGCCTCCAGCTCAGTCTCACCATTCCTGGGCTACCCTGGGCCTTCTTGCTGGTCCCACCATCAGCTTCTCTCTAGGCTATTACGCTCAGCCCCTCTCTCTGGGCTCCAGATACCTCACTAGGTCCCACACACTCAGCTTCTCTCTAGGCTTCCTGGACCCCTCACTAGGTCCCTCATCCTTGGCCCTTCTCTGTTGGCTCACTTTGACCACTTAACAGGTCCCTACACTCAGCCCTTCTCTCTGGGCTCACCTGGACCCCTCCCTATACTCAACCTTGCTTTGTGGACTCCAAACCCCTCACTGGGTCCCCAGGAACATCCTCCACCCCTTAGTTCCTTCCCAAATCTCTAGCCTGCTACAAGTGTTACTCTCCGTGCTGGCCTTCAGGAGCTGCAGCCCTCCTGTGCCCCCAGGATCTTCATGATGGCTTCACTCAGTGTCCCATCTAAACCCAGACCTCCTCCTCGGTCAGCCGATTCCACAATTGGTCCTGGCCTCACCTGCAGGCATGGCCCCTAATTGCTTTTCTACCACACTTGCAGCCTGCCCCAGCCACAGCCTGCCTGCCCTTAAAGTAGCAGGAGCCTGAAGCCTTCTGCTAGAGTGTTGCAGGACCCTAAAGTGCCTGCTCCTTTAAGAGCAGAAATTGCCTAGGGAGAAGGCTCTAGGCAGAAACCCCACAGGTGCAGGATACTCTGGCAGCAGGCTAACAAGGGAATTAGCCTGCACCAGCTGACGGGAAGAAGGCAGGGCCCTGGGCACATATAAACCCCAGGGATGAGGCCAGCGGGGGTTAGTTCTCTAGCAGCAGCCAGGGGAAGGAGTCTGCAGAGAAGAATTGCCCGGAGACGCTGTGGCCTCCTGATATGCTGCCTATAGGACTAATGGGGCTCCAGGAGCTCACCAGGTACCCTGGGCTACAAGGCACTTAATGCTGCGGGGGAAGTTTGACTCTTTCAAAGGGACAGAGCACACCCTGAACTGCTTGTATTATGTTATAGCCCAGGGGCTTATATTTTGGTTGTTTTTTATAAACCGGTGGACCGGACTGAGGCTACTGGGGAGGAGGAGGTCTCATTGAGGCTACGCTATAGTGTGGAGACCTCAGCATCAGCAGTTGCAGCATCAGTGTGGGTGCAGAGACAGGGCTTTGGAGAGCCCAGTGATGAAGGAGAGGCTGAGCTATAGCAAGGCCTCAGAGGGACAATGTTTAAATACCATCTGCAAGGCTTGGGGTGTGGTAAAGGGGCAGTTTGGTAGCCATGCATTTACCCCATAAGGCTAAGGGTGTCTTGTGAGGCATCCATTTTCAGCAAGACCCAAAAAGGGGTCCGAGAACCCACAGGGTTCAGTGGGGTCCATTAGGACTGTGTCCAAACATAAACTCAAGGGCAGCCTCCCTATTTATTATAATTACCAGCAAGACATGACAGGCAAGGAAAAGGGTGCCCGATGGGGCAAGATTGGCATGGCCACGGAGCCCTAGAGGCATCATGGCCATCCCTGGGGACCCCATGCCATGACATACAATATAATGCAGAGAAAAGCAGCATGCATGCAAATATATTCCATAGCTTTCCCATACATTTGAACTTTCCTATGTAGAGTTAAAACAAAAAAGGAAATCAGTGAGATTGGTGGCTATTAAAGATGCATTAAAGATGCTGGCCTAATGGCATTAGAGAATACAACTAGATACATAATTTGTGGTACACAGACCTCTCTCCACAGAACAGATATAGGCTGGCTTCCCTGGAAACCCATTTGGATAGTCTGTATGTCCCTTCCTCTGTGCTTGTGGTGGTCTTTTTATCATATGCATAGGATTGCCGTTAGGAGGCCTGAGCATATGACCAGGACACCTATCCCCAAGTCATTTCATAGGCGCCACCAGACTGGTGGCAGAGGGCAGTAACTTTGGCAGTACTATAGTACATTTGAAGAAGTATCCTAGGATAAAACACTTTACAGATACTCTTTACAATAGCACTTAAGTGACTCAGCAGCCTATGGGATGGATTTGCTTAAAGATGTGGAAAAGCACCTAGTGGGATTCTGAAAAGAGCCTGAATGGATTAGGCATCAAACACCCACTGATTTCCC